GCACGCAATTTCTTCAATATAAACTGCAAAAAGAATTTTAGATATCAAAGAACTGTACAAGTAGTAGTGTGGTCTGGAGTTTGAGGTTAATASATAATTTGGCTTTTGCAGGGACTACTGTAAGAAGTCCAGTTCTCTTTGCTGTAATGGGACAGGTTTCCCCTGGCAAGTGCTGCCATTTCTGTATTCAATCAGCAGGCTGGAGGGATGAGGAGCTGTCCTGATCTGCTAGAGCAGCTCCACTGCAGAATGCTAATGCTGAATGTAATGCCCTTGCACAGGGAAGCGATTATTCTCTACCAGCTGCAAGCAGTGAGTGGGTGTGCTCACATGCTGCATGTAGGAAATTCAAAAGAAAGTAAAAAAGAAAAAACACAGAAACAAACCCCAAAAGCAGTAATTCTGTAAGAAATTCATTTTTAAAGAAACAATGGAGCATTTAAGTGACATGGGGAGCTCAGCTGCAAGGTTTAAAGCGCTGACCCTTCATTACTAATCTGTCTGCCCCATGCACTAGGAGGGCTTAAGGCCTTCAAGAACCAAGAGAAACAGSAAAAAGATAATAAAATATCTGGGCAGGAGATTTGTACTTGCAAAATACATAGCTATATCGCTTCCACTGCAAACCAAAGTTGCAGGCACAAAAACATGCAGCCTTTTTCCCCCTCCCCTGTATTCAGCAACATGTTTAACCTTGGAGCTGTCAAGCTCCATCACGAATAATGAGCCATGACAACATTCCAAGTGATCCTTGGAGAACCGACCAATTTTTACTATATTCTACACAAGGCAAAGGCTGTTATCATATTCCCATGGTATTGTATCTGCTTTGAAAATATACAGTAATGTGGCCATCAAGAGGAGATTGCAAGTAAATACAGAAACAAACAGGCCACTTCATTGCATTTCATCATCTAGACCTGGGGAACAAGCAATAGGACATGCAAAATCCTAATGTTTCACATTTAAACAGGGACCAAGAGGGAGATTGGTCTCGCTGAACATGCATTTGACWCCATCTCTTGAGAGCAAAACCATCTCTGTATGTGAAACAAGGCCCAGCTGCTACAGCAGGGACAGAGGCTTCATAGCAAGGGCCCTGCAGGTCTCCCAGCCCCACGGGATCTCRTAGGAGGGCAGGAACCTGGGGTGAGAAGGCAGCCTCTGCCCCTGTCTGCTTGTGCTCTCAGACTGTTTGCATGGGTGCAAGGAGCAGTGCTGGAAAGCACAGGAGGGAACCAGAGCCGCTCGAGAACCTGCTTGAGGTTCCTGTACGGCAGCACCGTGACCATGCCAAGGCAAAGCTGAAAGCAAGCAGGGAACAGCTGCACAAATAATGGCCAAGGCCACCTCTGCCACGCTCCCCCCCAGCTCGAGGGGAGGGCAGAGATGGGACAAAGATTCCTTGAAATATTTTTTTTAAATGTATTGAAGATTTAAATAGGCATTCAAAGCAGACAGCCAAATTAAAAAAATTTAAAAATAAATTTCATCATCTGTTCAGGAAATAAGTGCTAATTCATTAACACCCATCTGAAAATACATATATTCTCTAACTGTTCCAAGCAGCGAGCATCTACTTCATGTTTCTGCAAAGAGGAAAATAAATGTATCCTTATTCCTGCCCTGTTATTTGCAACACGGTATTTGTTTATGAGGTAGTAGMAGGAAGGTCTTGCCTTTATTTGTGAGGTATTTCTGAATCCTCTAAAAACAACTGAAAGTACTGCACAYTATTTTCTCCTCTCTGAAAGTGTGCCATTTTATGTCCATTTCAAAATTCACTAGAAATTCCAGCAACCTTCAAACAACTCTGGCAAGAAAAGCATTGATGTCACTCCATAGATCCTTACCTTTCTTCCAAGTTGCTAAAAAACTTGCAGTGACAGACACCAGAAATCAGTGCTGAGCCCCCAAAACTGCTCGCAGTGTAACAGATCTCCTTCCCACCAACCTGCTGTAGAGACAAGGCACACACGTGCAAGCCTTCCTTGCACGAACCACCGGTATTTGAAAAGCCAAGGTCTGAAAAATCCATCAAATTTCTATCCATTGTTAAAGTTGGGGGGGAGAAAAGCCACTACTCCCAAAGTATTAACAGTTACACATGATACTGTCTCTATATTTCAGTTCTCTATTTGCACGTGAGAACCACCTGCACCGCTCTTACCCGCTCTCCTCTCCTATATTCACCTCTTCACACACATGACATTCCCCCGCCCTGGAGCCATTCCCAAACTGGCAGAGCTCGTTCAGCCACTACATGCAGCAGGACCATCAACTCCTGTTCAAAATAGCTCTTCTCTTCTTAAAAGACTTGCTCTATATTGGAAGAAAACCCCCAAATTTCAAGGACTAATTTTATTAGTAGTCAACATGTCCTCAGACCACCTCATATATTGCCACTTTCTCCCATTCCCTGATAACCTGCTCCCATTTATGCACCACATCCTAGCTCCGCACRCGTAGCAACTCCACCCCCTGCTAGCAATACTTGGCAATAAGATCCCTGATTGCAGATTCCAGTTCAACACAGCAATTGGCATTGGGCCAATCTGTAAGCTCTTTAATAAGCTTTTATATTTAACTTTATATCAGGCAGGACTTTGTGCTTTGTGTTCTTTGTGTATGCTGAGAGCAGCAATGTAGTTGTAAGAGCAAAGGGGGAAAGCAGCATCACCTCAAGGGGAGGAAGGGAGGTCACAGGTCTAATTCTTCTTGTTGCTCCACGCCTCCCCAGTCTGAGTCTTTCCTAGAAGATAAGCAGCCTACCTTACACAGGAAAAAACCTTCAGGAAGCCAGTTCAGATGTCAGGGAAATAATGAAAAGTAGTTACAAAAAAAGTTGATTCTTGCATCAGATGTGAACGAAGCCCATAAAGATCAAAAGCAGGTCAAGGACTCAAAAAATTAGGAGGCGATAAAATTAAGGATATATGGTCCCATATTACAAAGGCACATGGCACTTTCTGAGCATGCTTGCCTTGCGCTGGAGCTCCTTCTTTAGGAGTGAGGCAGGACACTAAGGAAAGGTCTTTCAAGTGCCCCCATAGCTAACCCCGTATCAGGGCAAATACCTTCTGTGTGCCCGAGCCAGGCCAAACACAGGAAACAGCATTTCGGCTGTGGACACTCCTCATCTTTGCACTGCTCCCCCTCTTGCTCCTGCAAACCCTGSCCAAAACCTCCTGTGAAATGAGATTTCAGACAGAACCAATTCCCTGATTCAGCTCACTGAGTAACCAATACTAAAGCCTTTACCAACACAAGCTTATTCAGTAATGGTGAAAGCTCAGAAAGCATCCCTTAAACAGAAACATCAACAGTTCCTGGAGGGAAAGGGACAGGGACAGGAAAGAAAATCASCTTTTTGAAGGTCCTAACTAATTCCTTCACATATAGATGACAGGCTATTGCCTCCTCCCTCCCCTGCCCCAGGAGAGACTTTTCCTCCTTTAACAGAAGGGGCACTCATGCAGCACTGCTATCCCTGCTGCTTATCTGGTAACTGGGTTGGAAACTGAAAAGTGCAATTGATAAAATTAGGGTCATGGAAGGATGGTCCCACCTTGAAAACCCCAGGCTAGCACCCAGGAGCTTTACACAGGGGCTTTTGGGGTGAGAAGGGACAGAGTCCCTGCTGCCAGGGACTGCACAGCAGCACATGAACATGTCATACCCAGCATATGCCAAGTGCTGCTGCCAGTGTGGGTGACAACCCACCAGAACTGCAGCTGAAGCCTGTGGGAAGCCAGTGTGACACACACAGTACACTGCTGTTCAGAAGTCCCTAACTCTGAACWCGAGCAACAGACATCTCTCTATAAGGACATGTTATACATGTAAAACATACACAACTATGTCTGCTTCCCTGCCAGGGAACCCATGAATAGCTACAACATGCCCAGCTTTTAACACACAGCCTCTCATCCCTTTGGGAAAGGTCACACTGAAAAAACAGCCTGGATATTAGTAGACTTATCTTCTATACAGACCAACCTTTAAGAGACCAACAGGACCTCTCCCCTGGGTAACTCATCTTCCCCTTAGACCGTGTTAAAACACCTTTCAGCATCCCCTCTTTTTCGTGATGAGGTGGAGAGCTAACAGAGCCATGTGCAATGTGACACATTGATTTTGAAAGGTGAGCATGAATTTGGAAAAAAAAATGGACCTGACCACTTTCCAAGCCCCTAAAACAGAGAAAAAAGAACAGACAGGGAGAGAGGAGCTATTTTTCTCCAGGCTCATTCTCAGGTGCACCCATGCAGGTTTTATCARTGTGCTTGCTTGTCTGCTGAAGACAAACCTAACACAAAGAACTACAAGACTGCTAAAAYATGAGGAGTATCTGAACATGGACTGCTATAAAGGGAAGCATCCTAGTTATTAGCACATACATGCACATATGCAGCTTATCAGAAGTGCCAAGGCTTCTGAGAGGAAAATTAAGTACAGGTATTTGTCAGAATTCCTAGCACCCTATTCCACAGGTGCTTTTGATTCAAGTCAGTGAACATCAAGTCAATCCTATGGGACAGTAWCATTCACTTTTATAATAGCTACTGACCTCCTTTCTATGCTGGAGCTCTGCTGCAGTGGCATGACTAAATGTGGAAAGCAGCACATCACACTTTGTCAGCAGGCAGTACCTCTCCTTCCTCCATTCAAGGCTTTCATTCATTCTGGTATTTTTAAAAGTCATGCTGTTTCAAAACAGCTCATCCAGATGGTGGATACTCACAGCTCAACCTTCCCACAAGGTAACGTGGCTGGAGAAAATAAAACTGTTGCTACCTGCTGCTGACCTACTTCTTTCTTTAATTTGTTTCCTGCCACACACAGAATAAACAATACGGTTCATCGAACTCTTCAGTACCTGACCACAGCTGTGTAACAAATATAAAACAAAGTCAACAAAGGCACAAGGCAAAAAAGACAGCACGATGTAATCATCGGGCATCACGGGGGGGACTATGYGGCAATAAGAAAAGTCTCACCTCTATCATAATCATCTTCCTCTATTGCTTTTTCCTGAAGCCTTTGAAGACGTAAGATCAAGGACTTTATCTATACAGAGAAAAAAGTTAATGATGAATAAGTTTCATTTAAAATCACTAGTGAACTCTACACGATACGAATACACAGCATTGCTACATTACTAGAGTTACCTGACTTTGAGTCAAGCCCAGCACAAATGCAGCAGACCCACCTGTTTCCAAATAGCTCAGCTGCAGCTGCTGGAGCCAAGCACAGCTTCAGCCCAAACATCTACAAAGATTAACAATACTGCTTAAAAAATTTAAATAAGTTGTATGGTTAYAGGATATTTTTCAGACTTTTAATTATTTGAGGTAAGGAGTATTACAGGCTACATTCATAACAGGTACTCTTTTTGATTCCATTTACCCAGTTTTTACATTCTAGTCAATAYTCTTTTCAGAGTCCATTTTATTAATTTTTGGTATATATCAGTTTTGCTCAGAACAAATCCAGAGATTTGCATATGGAAACCACTGCAAGTAAAGAGAAATACCACGTGAATATTTTGGGACAAGCGTACTTGTCATAGAAAATTGTATCTACATGCAAAGGAGTTTCCTTGAAGTATAGTTTARGTTCACCTACAAAACATTAACATCTGCATTTTCACTGCAACATCTGCATTCACACTGCAAACACTAGATGGGGAAAAACACTCATAAGTCCCATACCATAAAGGAAGTGCTCTTTCATACCTAGAACTCTTTCCAGAATAAAGTCTTATTATAAAATTTACTGCTTCTCTTTGCTCTTTGACAATTCCAGACAAAAGCTCTACAGCCTCCTCTTTTACTAAAAATTAGGAAGGCCAGATCCCTATTCAAAGACTTTATTAATAACTGAGAAAATTGGTTAAAAGATATGTTGTGCTCTCCTCATTGGCACACCAGCCACAGCTTAGCATACACAGAATTATAAAACTAAAAAAAATCTTATTATTCAAACTTGTACATCATCTATACCAAGGACTTGTTATGAGCATGGAGAAAAGCATACCTAGAAAAAAAATAGCATATATCTATTGTCATAGCCCAAAGCCTGGAAGTGTTTGGAAAAGCATTTTTCCGATGCAAAAAAATACACTCATATTTGAGATATTCTGTTTCTACAAAAGACTTCCCTCAAACTCTTTACAGTTTGACCTCTACTTTCACATTTCTAGACTTTATACCAAAAATGAGGTACAGTCAGTCAGCAACTTAATGAAAAGACTCAATTATSTGGACTACACAATCAACACACAAATTAGGGAAGACACTTAAATTAATGCTATCCCTACTAAATATGGCAAGTGAAAGTAGACTAGCCAGAAAAAAAATTASAAAAGYCAAAKGCAGGAAAGAATCAAAAAATGGCTGATTAATAACATGCTGCTATAGGATATTCCACAAACATAATACTACATWAGGGAAAAAACACATAAAAYAGCMTATTTTGTACATGTGTGTAGCACATACTCTTTCCCTCCAAGGTATTTGTTTTGCCTTTGTTTTTCCCATCTGGAACCACCAGTCTTTGGTCTCTGAGGATGGTGTGAAATGCATAACCTAGTGCAGGGAGGCGCTCTCAATCCTCAGTTAATTATTTTCTCTCTTTTATGCCATCCTTTTGAGAGCTCTCAAAAAGCTTGCCATGGGAATGATTCAAATGCCACCTTCACATGCATGATGCATTGCAACCATCTCTACCTGGAGGGCAGCACTGCTGGTTTTTCCCCTCCACTGTTTCTGCCATCGTGCATTCCCTATGGCAGGTCATTTAAAAGGAGCTGGGGCACTGTGGCCCACCCGGGTGCCCATGGACAGCTGATTGATGCCGTTGCTGTAACCTGCTTTCCACCTGGAGGCTAGGGAGAGCTTTGGAGCCCTGGCACTTCTGAGAGGCACAACCTGYATCTGTATCACATGATCACCACTCTAAGCAATAAAAAGTGTATTTTTAAGCAACTTCAGTATTGTCTTCTTGTGTTGGCTACGGTTTCTTTTGTTCCTTTCTGAAAAGTCTGAGATCTCTCTCATTGCCTGTTCCTATTGCAACAGGAAGGTGATTCAAGTTCAACATGCCCTCCTGGCTAACCAAGGGCAAAGGCATCTAAGGMCACAAATCCCCAGTTCCCTATCCAATGAATTAATGAATAAAGAAATTAAAGACAGAAATGTTTCCTTTGTCTGTCAAAAGAGCATACTAAAAAGAATATGTTTTATATTTTATATTCCCAAATTTGCAGGGAATTAATTTCCTCCAAAAAATGACATATTTTAGTATGTTGTCATTTCACACATGGAGTCAAAGAAACCRTCTGATGTCAATGTGCATGAACTGTGCAGAAGTACATAGGAAAACCTAATTAGAGTCCTACATGCAACCTCTACGAGAAAATAAGCACTCGAAGGGGTTATAAGCCCCGGTCAGGTGATAGGTGACAGGGTTTTCTCACTTTCAGTGTTCTACCCTCAACATGCTGTATAGTAAAACATCACTGCAAACCTCTGAACAAACACAAGTACTAACATCCTGACTCCTGCATCAGCTTTGTCGTTGACGCTGGCACTATAAACAGAAAGGTTTAGGGGAAACAGAGCAGTGGGGAGAGGAATAAAAAACCCAAAGGATTAGGATCACAAACCTTTAATGTGGCGCGGTTGGCAAGCAAGCAGTCTAGTAGTACCGGTTCGTACTTTTTCATCAAGGTATCCCAGTTATGGTCACTGACAGTAAAGCTACTTTCATAGCCGGAGGTGACAGAAGACCCAGCAGATGCTGCGTCTGAGGAGTCTGTAGAACACGAAAGCGTTGCATCTGTATCCGAGAGAGAGACAGTTTCACAATCCTGCAGTTTATCACTCACTGTGGTCTCATTTTCATACTTCAAATCCTCATGGGGCCTAGAGGAGCAAGGCAAAGCTCCCGAGTGCTCCGGAGTTATCTCCCTCTCTTCCAGCGCTTGGAGCGCTCCCGCAGTGCTGGAATGTGGAACACGCTCCGTCTCCTTGGCAGTTAATGTGCCCTCAGCATCGCCTGCTCCAGAGGCTGAGTTCATGGAGAGCTGTATGAAGCTGAAGCTGGAACTAAAGCCATCCTGCAGGCCRATGGAAAGAGAGGCACCTTCTTTTCTATGATATTCACAGTTGTTATTCACTTCGGTCTCATCCAAAGAGCACGTCTTTTGGGGCTCAGTTGCTTTAGTACTATGGGCTCTCTCTTCTGCATTTGAACAACATACAGTAGAAACATTTCCTCTGTCTGTGCCTGGGTAAACTGGTGTAATTAGGTTTTCCACCTGCGGATTTTTGTAACCTGAAAGATTTCTGCAGCTTCCTGGCGTATTTCCAGTAGTGACTGATGTTGCTACTGCATCAGCGGCAACTATAGTGCTATTTGCAGTTGAACAACAGCATAAAAATTCCAAGTTTTTTTCACATTGCCTGCACAGAGAACAGTTTTCAAAGTCCTCGCAATGTTTCCTGCCRTGTTTGAGCTCTTCCGAGTTGAGTGGCTTGCAGGTACTCAGGGACTGAAACTCCATCTGTTGCTGAGCCTCCGGCCTCATGTACCCAGGTCTTCTTGCCAGCCTCTTTTTACGAAAAGAGCCTGCAGGTATTAAGCGCTCCAAACTATCTAGAAAAGATAAAAAAAAAAGTGTCATTACAGAGTTTCTGCARTTTTCTAGGCTTGGAATATGGTGGCATCTGAAAGGAATTATTTGGGGAATTTCAGACGGTGCATCAGTTTCCTTTTCAACAAAAGGAAGATACCAACTGCACTGTGCAAAGAGGAGACAAGCTGCTGCTATCACGGCACTCTCTGTATTCATTCACTTTYTAGAGAATTTGCACCAGTTTTTACGTGAATTCACTGAAAAAACAGTGTCCCTCAGGACACAAAGCTGTGTATGATGAATCACATCCATTTCCCTGTCTGTTGTAGTTCTCTAATTCTTCRTTCTCCACTCAGGTAGCAGTGTGATATGTTAGTGTATCTGAATGGTTTTCAGACATACCAGCCCACCTAGTGCAGAACTGAACCTGCATTAAGAAGAGCACTGCACTTGCAGAGAATTTTGCATTTAACCACTTCTGCTCATGTCCAGCTTCACATTCAGATTCATACTTTATTAACACAAGACACTTCAGATCATGCTTCCAAAAGAGAAGTGAATTTGCAGTGGAATGATGGACAAACAGCCTCAGACTAAAAAGATATCTTAGAATTTTTCGTTTAGATTTACTGCACTAGTTGTTGTCCTAAACATTACCACCACCATTATCCATTTTCTACCACAAAAACCTGGTCGGAATCACCCTTCAAAGGGATGCAGTGACTATTTGAATTATGCCCTCGATCAGCCACCTTCTGTGCAAGGAAAGAGAATCAATTGCCAGCAGACCAGGCAGTGGAACAACCCTGACAACCTCTGCATCAGTGACCAGAGCCAAGTTTCTCCTCCTCCAACTATACAGCACAGAACAATCCACAGCAACATATAGGAAATATTCCCTTCGAATCATATACCTTGGCCAACTTTTACGCCGACACARTTGCACATAATATAAACACCTCAACAGCTCCCTAGAGAAGCCTCATGGATCATCAGAATGACACAACATACAAAACACTTAAGCGCAAGAGTTGAAATTTCCCAGTGGACATTTCCCAAGATTCACTGTATCCTCTCAAAACAATCCTCAACAAAAGCAATTTAAATGCCTTTTGCATGCTCCAACATTGGCATCTCACCACAAGACTGCAGTTCAGTTTTAGCATTTTTCTACCTATCATCATAAATTRGAATACTCCAGCTGTGTCGTCTGTTACCTCTTATTTGTCAGAAAAAGCATCATAGAAATTAGGACTTCATAACCCCTTTTTATTTCTATCAGCCTGTCTACTATAAAAAGACAGTGAAATGCTCTGCAGGGAGTAATTTAATAGAAAATATAACAAATAGAAGCTGTTCTTGAAGCAAGGGAACTAAACTTGAACAAAACGTTCTTCAGAATTTAATTCCTTTACTTTATATAAAAAAATAACAGTCAAAGCTTGAGAATAAATTGGCAGAACTGAGGAATAACTTGGTCTTTCTAAGACTGGATACTCCTTAGCACAGTGTGCAGAGGTCACGTGCCTTCCCTCTGGAAAGGAAGAGGCCCCTTTGTTTAGTGCAGATCCCTTTGGAATCTCTGAATCCACCCGGAGGATCCACGCAGGGATCACCCCTAGCCAGGGGATGGGGGCAACATCCCCAGCCAGGCCCACACTCGAGGAGCAGCAGTGACACCCTGGACCATCACCCAGCACRGGCCAGTGGCACCTTCAGCCTTCTGTCACCTCCCTGTTCTGCAGGGGACAATCGCTCCTGTTGCTCGTGACCGTATAGCTGATATCTCCTTTCGTAGACTTGGCTCTTCTGTGCAGCCTGCCACTCCGAGCTTCCTGCATCTAATGTCCAGCCAAAGAAACCAAACTGAACCACATCCCATGAAAATGGAGTGAAAATGGAACATGGAGAGAGCAACTGAAAGGAGCTCACAAAAACCCTGCATTACGGTGGGCAGTGCATCACACTGCTGAAAGAGAGGGGAAGATGAAGACAGAAACCCAACGCAGAAGAAGGTTCTTCAATCGCAGCATCACRTCACAAGGCTGGAGAACAGCACAACGTCGCTGAATTTACTCAATGCAATCGGTCTTCATATTTTAGCCACCGAAGTGGCAGCTTTTCGACCAAGTGCTCTTATGGCATCAGTAAGAAGCACCTTAAGTAGCTCGCATCTCTACGAAGCCCACCAGGATTTTATAGCTCAGAATAGAAACTCTGCAGGGATTAGTTCCCTCCTCCCTCAGCTTTAAACACATAATGCAGAATGTTTGCAAGCTCATTAAGTTCTCCCTAAAAGTGACTGGGAAATTACACATGCAGCTTTAAAAAGAGCTTGGCTCTGAGTATACTTATGCTACAGACTGCTGATTTTCGTTAGAATARTAAATTCATCTTCAGAGCATCTGTGGGTGGGTAACCGTGGCATCTAAGGAGAAGATAGCTGGCTTTGAATATGGCCAAATATCAAAGGACTGCTCCAAGCAATTTCTGCAGTGATGCTTTTAAGGAAGCCTTAAAAAACAGCATTAAACTATGCAAGAAGCTAGCAAGATGATAATATTATTTACAAGCATAAAGACACACAGAAGTGTAAAGTTTCAGTAATAAAATTCATTATTCTCTGACCAATCTGATCTGCCAATAAGAATTATTGGTTGGTTTCTATGGTATGAAATATGTAAAATGTAACTGCAGGTGTCTAGCTCATTATATTTTGACCTGTTTGCTGAATTTCAAAGATAAMACAAAATATTCAAAATAAGCTGGCACTCATCTGAATACAGACTATTTCACAATAAGCCACTGGTCTCTTATTCAAATATGCTTTCAAAGGAAGTTACCTTCAAATAGATTTTTAAAACTCCTGAACCATTAAGATCTTACTCATTTTTTTATTTTAATCGCTAAAGATGGCTACAATTTATCTACCATTTTATAAAAAGTAATTTGTAAAAGCGCGGAGTCACATTATGTTTGTCCCCATTTAAGAATAATTTTCTCACCAATGGTTCCTTCCATTTCTAAGGGCACCCGCTGAGTTGGGGTATTCAACTGCTGAGTTTCTGAGATGCCATGAACAAAATATTCAGTCATTAAGTGCTTGTTAGCTTTTACTCTTCACTATGGAACACTTAAGAGCTGAGCATTTTAGCCATCAGTCTGGGCTTCCTTAGCCATTGTTTTAACAATTGCATTTTTATTGAAACAAATCTGTAATTTAACAAATTCAGTAACACACACATTTGAGCCTCTTACCTCCCTAACGCAACAGTCATCTTTAAACCATTTGTGAAATTGCAGCACATTTCTCTAAGAATCACAGTAGCTGATACCAATTTCAACACACTCAACATTTTCTTCCTCAAAAAGAAAAAAAAATCCTAGAACTAGTTTTGCTTTGTTAATGCTAAGCAAAAAAATAGCACCTATTAAAAACTCATCCGGTAAATATAAAAGCATTTTCAATACCAAAAACAGAAGCTATTGAATCAYTCAATCGGGGGAGGAATAAGAAACATATCATTTCTTAACCACATCCTATGATTGCGTCCTGCTTTGCTAGTCCATTGAAATACCAACACATCTGTGAGCCCATCACCATTCAGCAGCACTTTGACTAGAACAGAACAGTTAMGGTTGGAAGGGACCTCTACAGATCATCTAGYCCARCCTTCCTGCTCAAGCAGGMACACCTACAGCATGTGGCACAGGGTGGCATCCAGGAGGGTTTTGAAGACCTCCAGAGTAGGAGACTCCACAACCTCCCTGGGCAGCCTGWTCCACTGCTCTGTCACCCTCACAGKAAAGAAGTTGCTCCTCACCTGGAGACGGAACTTCYTRTGCTTCAGYTTGTGGCCATTACCCCTCRTCCTATCGCTGGCCACCAGTGAGAACAGCCTGTCCCCTTCCTCCCTGCATKCTCCCTTCCTGAACTTATACACATTAATCATATCCCCTCTGAGCCGTCTCTTCTCCAGAGAARACAGGCCCAGCTCACTCAGCCTYTCTTCATACGAGAGATGTTCCATTCCCTTAATCATCCTGGYTGCCCTTCTCTGGAYCCTCTCCAGAAGCTCCACGTCCCTCTTGTACTGGGGWGCCCAGAACTGCACACAGTACTCCAGGTGTGGCCTCACCACTACTCGTGCAATTGAGAAGGCAAGCCCATAAACAACAGGCCAGCCTCTCACAGAATTGACCAAATGGTCACAGTTGTAAGGACCCTTTGGAAAGGACCAGGTCCAACACCGCTGCCCAGCAGGGTCACCTAGAGCACACTGCCCAGGCCTGAGTGCAGAAGGATTCTGAACATCTCCAAGGAAGGAGACTGCAGAGCCTCCATGGGCAACCTGCTCAAGGTTGCCCCACACAACAAGGCCACAGGGGCCCATTGCTGCCTCACACTCACTGCCTAGCAGGGCTCTGAAGCCCTTCTCCACACAGCTGCTTTCCAGTAGATCAGGCCCCTTTAGCACCATCAACAACAGTGTACTTATTTCCCCACAAATACCTAGCTCCAACCTGTTTTAAGGGTCTCCCTGTATTATTCTTCTCACTTGCAGTTAAATATTTGAGAATTAGCTCTCCACCTTCCAAAAGGCAGAGGGACACAGAGTTGCAGGCAAGTAGAGATATGCTAGTCCTCCACTGCAAGTGTCTTTCAGGTGTTTTTATGTTTGAAGGGTTTTATGTTCTTCTTCTTCCTAGGATAAACTCTTTTATTTCCAGTTCCAATGGGAAAGTCTGAGAAGGCAGTCCCTGCAAGTGTTTCATTTAGAGAAAATGCTCTGGTTCTTTCAGGAAGAACAAAAATCTTAAATATTATACAAAAATGGAGAGAGGAGGATTTTGCTTGATGCACTTGAGAAGAACCTGTGAAGTTTCGTTATTTCTAAATTAATTTGTATAAACAATACTTAACAGGTTTGCAGTCATATGCTGTAAGAGCCTTTCACCCAATGTGTCTGTAATTACAAAATTAATGCACAGCAGTCCTTCCCAAGAATGGGCTATTTAACACACCACACTTTTATCACTCTGTCTACTGAGCGACAGAGTGGATTCCCACTACTTCTGCTCAGTCAGATCATCTACAAGAGATTTTAATATGAAATTCATCACAGAAAAAAAAAAAGTGAAGCGTGAGGGCACATTGACAGCAGTCAATTTCTAATTCAAGCACAGTTTGAGTACTCCAGYTTGGAGATTTGAATTTTTAATTTCAGCAGGAGAGTGGGTTCCAAATTAAGCATCTGATGCACACTCAGTCTGAAAGCAGAATTGAGTTCACTGAAATAGAAAGTAATTTTCTCTTAACAGCTCAGTAGTGATCACGTTTAATGAAAATAAAACAACACAGCAGTTTCTAYATTGCTGAGGGTGAGGAGTCAGTGAGCTTTTAACTTTACAATTTAATATCAAAATCCCAGGACAAGTTTTCCTCTTTTGCCCCACATAGGAAGTTTACCTTATGGCCCATCAAGATGTCAGTGATGCCAACACTGCCTAGACAGCAATGGAGATGGAATGGTGTTTCAGACAAAGGAAATCTGAGCAATACCACAGAAAACACAGTGCCTTAGGATGTAGACCACATAGGAGTTGCTGCAGAAGTCAGCTGTGTGTACCCAAGCCACCAGTATGGCACTGAATAGAAACAGAGAAGTCCCACACATGCATCAGGATGCAAGCATACAAGTAGTATCATTTCCTCATCCCTGCTTCCCCAGAAAGACAGACTCAGGGCTTTGCACAAGCCCCTACCACTCTTTATGCTCCCATAAAATTTCTGTACTCGCATTCTCTTCCCTGCAGCAGCGATTCTGGGGCTTCTGCYCTCGCTGGCTGATGAGAAGCAGCTCCTCCAAGCCGCAAGGCGAAGAATCTCAGCCAGGGACAGACCTCAACACCAAGGGCAGTCCTTGCTGCAGGCCAGCCCGTCAGTCTGCAGCATCACCCCGCAGACACCCCAAGCAGGACTTGGGGCTCAGCCAGAGCGACTGGGGAGGCCCATAGAGATGCACGTGGGTAAGCAAGAAAGACACAGGCATTGCCACCTCTGCCAGCTTCAGCRAGGGTAGCACCCTTCCTTCACAACCTCACCTCAGGCAGAGGTAGTTTTCTTTACTAAGTCCAAGAACACAGAAGTGAAGACACTGGCTATATATTTTTCCTCTAGCACTAAGACAAAAGATAAATAGCTCAGGTGGAATTGAGATCATCTTCTGAACAAGCTCTGGGAGAGGCAGTACTATATGATATGGCAGCAGAGCACACTAACTGCAAGCATAAAGCACTTCTCTCATCCTCTAGTTGTGATTTCTGCTAACWGGTTCACCTTCTAAACAACACGGCACAAAAGTCACTGCCCAGAGCATGTCACATATCACAAAACGAACAAAAAATACACTCTAACACACACACACTAAACAGATTAACATCTCGGGAAGAGGCACAGTTTCTATCCAGAAGGCAATCACAACAGCCTTTGAGAACACGTTGCACATATGTTCCCCAAACTAGAGAAAAACTAATGCCTTCTCTTCCAGTCCAACCACAAACTGAACTACCCAGCTCTGTTTCTGTATTATCAAGGGCAATTTGCATCCACAGGAAGGAAGCGTAACAGAGAGAAAAGAGGAGAGAGATGTCTAACACTACAAAAAGGTCTCAGCACAACAGACTCTAGGTCACTAAAGCCACCAAAGCTCTGTGGAGTCTTGCACAGCATTCAGACAAGATTAGCTATTATAAAGCACCTCTTTCACTTAAGCTACTATATTCTAAGAGGTATTTTCTGGCTCTAAGTCTGAATTCCTTGGGTGGAAAGAGGCAACTTCTCCTCAGTTGTACCCAATAAGACACACCACAAAGTCATGACTGAGTCTGGACATAGACATTTATCCACAGTCACTACAAAAAGACACACCAGCTCAGTCACAATGGTGAACTATGTGGAAGATCAGGAGACCTCATAAAGGAGCAGAAGTGGATCCAAACCAAGAAGGCATGATCAGTTTGGGTGGAGTTAGCACTCCACAGCTTCCAAACGAGAGTTATGCCAGCTGAGATCAACTTGGTGTGCCACACACACACCACTAGGGATTCCCACCCCAGAAGTGGAACACTGCCTCTCTGACARGACTTCTGCAACACCACCACATATACAATCAAGGACAAGCAACCCAAGAAAGAGCCATCACTGTTCAAGAGCTGTAAGAGTCACACTGTGCAAGGCCCACAGATTAAAGAGTCTCAACAAAGTCCCCTTCACCTCCAGTCAGAGCCATGCCCTCTAGAAGCACCACCTCTCAGCACCTTCTCACTTTCTCCTCTCCTCAGGATCCCAGCACACACAAGGCTTCCCCAGGCCCTATGAGTAATGCCTGYACAACAGAAATCAAGGGTGTCTCAGCTTACTGCTAGAACCCCTCCCAGCCTGAGCTTCAGGCCCCCATCTCCCCAAGCCCCTCAGAGCACTCAGCCCACCACAGCTGAAGGGCCTCCCTCCTCCACACCAGTCCCTAAGAAGCAGCTCAGCTTYTTCAGGTCCATTTAAAAGGATCCCAACTTGGCTTCACCTCTCTCCACTGATTTCCCTGCTTGCTTCCAGGTGGGCCTGGCTTAACACTTTCACAGCACCTGCTGAGTCTGTAAGAACCTCCCCTCTGAAAGTGTGCTGGCTCCATTCAGCCCTTTAGAGATGGCAGCAGTGAAAAACATTCTCCTAAGAGCTTCCTTCCCAGGCCTGCAAATCACTCCTATTCAAGTTGAGGAAATCAAGACAATTAAGGCAGTTACCTGCTACAATTCACTCTGACAGTCTCCCTGGGTTAAGATGTAATGGCTGATAATGCAGGTTCCCTTATTAAATATACTACTGATGTTCAACAAAAGCACAGGTTTTTTTTTTTTTTTTGCTAGGATTTTTTAATTTATTTCTGCCATGTTAATTCTAATTCACCTAAGTATATGTATCTGAATGTAAGGCCATAAGATCTGCCATCTTTTACTGAATCTTGCCTGCTGTCATTATATAAGTAAAATAAGGAACAGTATKAATCTCCAAAGGAATTTTAGTCTTCCATGAAATAGCTTGCAGATGCTTCACTGGTGCCAAGGGCTCTGAGCGGTGCTGTAGGAAACAAAGTTTTAAAASAAAATACTTTGGGCTAAAATAATGRGAAGTTAAAAAACAAAACAAAGACYGACTTTTCAAAAATATGTTCTCTGTAAAAGACAGATTGCTTCGAAAAATCCAGTAAAGCAGGTTTTCATGTCAATAGATTCTGGATTTATCTTAATATTTTAAAGGGATGAAAGGTGCTGCCTGTGCCATATGGTGGTGAATACGCACACCTGAAAAGAATTTAGATATCGAAGATTAGTGGATGACAACTTCAAACATCATTTTAAATCATCCCCCAGAAAAAAAATATAGATAATACATGCAATTCTTTATTTCAAGTAGTTTATTTTTAATTTACTGTGTGTTTTAGAGAACTGGTAGCAATATAGCAATATTTAGAGATGCTGGTAGCAATAATATCAAGTCATAGGTCCCCCAAAAACTGCCAATAATACCATTTTATGTGGGATTCTGTACAGTAAAGTATCACTGGAAACATCAGTTTTAACTTGAATTTTCACCAGTCATTTAAAACAATAAACAAATTTATATGACTCCTTAAGTTACATGTAACACGATCTGAGCCTACTATATTTTTGTACTTCAAATCAAAAAAATGTTTTCACTAATCTTCAGATCTGATACAGGAAAGGAGATTTATACAATATCCACATCAAGGCTCTCCAGAAAGATGGACCACTAAGAGAAGAGGTTTTTTTGCTGGCTCCTTTAATTCCTACTGAGTGAAACAGGATCATCTTTAAGTAGGAAACCTTTTAAAGCCTCTATTGATTAGGAATAAAATAAAATAAAATAAAATAAAATAAAATAAAATAAAATAAAATAAAATAAAATAAAATAAAATAAAATAAAATAAAATAAAACAAAACTCAAAGGATTCTGAAGTGACTTACAAGAACTCCACAACTTTAAAAGAAAAAAATTCCTCTCCCTCTACCCTCCGTGAGGAGGGGTATCTCACATGAAAACCCTTGCCAAAAAATGTAGCAAAAATTTAAAAAAAAAAAAAGCTGAAGAAAGAAAGAAATACTGAGAGGATGCATGGATATTCACTTCTGTGAGTTAAAAGTGTCATGGTGCTTTACTGAAGGGGAAAAAAATGCATCTTAAATTACCTTAAAGTCTGAGTCATAAGCAAAGACTTCTGTATCAGAGAAAGTCCTGAAGTTGGAACTAAGGGTATCTTTAAGGTTAGAATGCCCTCTTTGGGTATAAAGATATATTTGCAACACCATTAAATTTCAGCAAAAACATCTGCAATTTTATGCCACAGGAAGGAAAGAAAATAAAATAATGCCAAGTATACTACACCAAAAGCTTTTAGGAGATCATAAATAACAACTTACTACCCTCTACTAGCAACAACTTTACCAACATACTGTACATCAATAGTGAGGACAAAAGAAATCCATATGCAGTAGTGCACAGTGGGAGGACAAGAAAAAAAGSGTGTAACATTTCTTAGCTGGCTGAAACAAGGCAGCTTCAGACTGTAGACGGGGAAATTTTTTAACCCTGAGGACAGGTTGAGCAGGTTGCTCCAAGAGCCTGGGCAGGCTCCATCCTTGGAGAGTCTCAAGACCCAAGTGGTCTGACCTGGCCTGTCCTTGCAGCTGACTGACGCTGCCTTGGTCAGGGTGTTGGACTAGAGAGGTCTCACCAGCCTGAATTATCCTATGCTGCCTCTAAGCTTTAAATTTAAATTCTAGGATTTGCAATATCCCACTAAGCTACCTGTACTACTTCAGAAAACACATGACAAAAGATCAAAAACATCATCTGTGAAGATACATCCAACTTTGCAAGGAAAAAAAGAGTTGATTTAACTCCACAAAACAGACACAAGAAAATCACAGTTAGAGATTCCATCTTGCTTCGTGAAGCCTCCTGACGGAGATGCACATCCTGGAACCTGGAAACAGCTGACTGCCTATGAACAAAACCAAGAATAAAGTGCAGTACTTGAAATTTCATTATAGAGACTCAAACAGCTTTTAAGCATCCAGTATCCGCACACACRCAGAAATCACAAGCTTTGATGCCAGTCTGTACTACAAGCTAAGCTGACACAATAAGGCATCACAACATAAAAACTCCTATTGCTCCACAGCAGCAGACCTACAGTCACCAGCTGGTGATTAAATGATGCTCATGAGCATCACTTAAATGCCACTTTGATCTACTGCAGTTATTTCATGAAATGTTTATTACCAGCATTTTCCTGATTGGCTGTACAAATATTGGAAAGCGTTTCTCTCAAGACATTATTCAGCTTGCTGTATTAAAGATTATTTTGATAGCATTTCTCAGGCTGGTTTCTGATCAGAGGACAAGCAGGAGCCATATACCAGACTGTCTGGAGACACTTGCCTTTCCAAAACATAATCCCTTCCCTGGCGCCAAGGGCAAATAAAGCATCTAAAATCCCCTCTGACRAACTGCAAGCCAGCCTGCCTGCTGCACAAGCCTCCTGCGACACAGGAACGTGACACAGGAACGTGACACTGCCCTGCCCAGCCTCTGAGGCCTAATCATCTCGTGGGCATGGACAAAGGCAGATGCTCACTTCATTTCCTCGCTTTTCTTCCAAATTTGAGGGATTCCTAGYGCTCTTTCTCTTCTTCTTCCTTTTACTTCACAGCCATGGTGTTTAAAACACAGATAGTCTGYTGCCCAAAATTCTCATGGCCTTAAGATGTCCTCTCTAGGGTCTTTACCAGGTCTGTTTGGGGGGTTTCATTATTATTCCTACTCTCTACACAGCTCCCTGCATTTTAATTGCCTTTTTACCCTTTAAAAAAAATTCTCTGATATGTTAAAACATGATTTTAAAGTCATTAGACCCATTTTTTAGACTGCTAACATGTAGAACTACTGTTTCTAAGCATAGATTTGTAAAGAAGACTGCGACTCCACATACTTCTCAAATGGCTTACACTGAAGATAGCCATGCTGCTTCAATACTAAAGCCATGGCCAGCATAAACTAAGCATGGTCACAMACACCAGCCATGGCCTCAGCGCCGAGGCAGAGCACACATGGGGGTCCCTTAAAATCTGGCAGTGCAGAAAGCAGAAACAAAAGAAATGAGTATGTTCAGATCTAGCAGAAAGGTCTGGACCCTTCTGCTTTGCATAGAATCAAGACATTGTACACAAAGCTCACCCAAAACACTGCCAAAGTGCTGCCTTGCACATGGCCATTATCCCTGGATATGTTACAGATAAATAACTTTAAAACAATACAAAATGCATTCAGAAAGTTAGTGGCATCAATATACACAAGTTATCTATCTCCAAGATGAAAAACCTCACTATAGCAAAAGGCTCTGCACAAGAACAGGGCAAGCCAGCACATTTCACAAAAGGTGATGAGAAGTCCAATMGATTTTTCTTCCTCAAATCCCAGCATTAATTATTGATTCACAATTCTACATAGTACAGGAAAACAAACAAACAAAAGGGTACTTCTTAAACACTGAACAGCACAACTATACCAAAGTCAAGAAGAAAACACCTCTTTGTGCCCAGTCTGCTAAAAGAAAAATATCCAACTACTAGTCCTCACTGCATACAAAGAAAGAAATGGGAACTGGCCTTCTTTTTAACCTTATGGCAATCTGAGACCACCTGTCAAGCAAGACTTTTTCCCCCATCTGCCCTCAACCTCACAGAAAGCGAACAGCCTGTACACACTGCTCAGAAGAAACCATTCCCAGGGGCAGCCCTGGGCGCAACCAAATCTCTACAAGACTCTAGGAGGCCATGAACATGTGAATACTACAACAGCTGGCTTGCAGTAACCGTACTCAGGTTTCCCAGGAAAAGGGGAAATGCAACACCTTCTGATTATTATCTAGTTGGACATTAAGGCACAAAACCACACCGAGGACAACTGTACTAGTACCGCACTCCAAGCAACAGCAGCAGGGCCTTTCTCACGCAGTTTCAGCGCAGGGATCTCAATATTTTCACTGCTACAAACACATAAAGATGCATGGCCCTTCTTACCACGTCCCTGGCAGCACTGCAGCAAAGTTTCAGCAGGGTGCCCTGCCAAAACAGCGCTGGCCACAGCACAAGCAGCAGAGTCTGGGGCTGTCCAAGGCACCCGGGTGCATCCCAAGCCCTGACGCCCCACAGCATTACCGGTGCACTGTGAGCATCCCATTCCTTGTCAGTCCCACTGAAGGCATGGCAACCAGCAGAGCRACAACAGTACAGCTGAGGAAGCCTGGCTGCAGCAATGTAAAATACTACCAAGATCAGGTGCTGTCTGTCCCTCTGTCTTCTGTGGGAAGGGTGAAGAACACAGCATGTCCCCAGCTCAGCTCCCACGGCTCAAAGCCCCAGGTGGGAGTGCAAACCAGGACCGCTTAATACTTGGCTTTACAGAGGGGAACAGCTGGGTCACAGCGCTGGCAACAGCAGTGCTGCCCATTCCCCCGTATCAC